GAGAGAGAGAGAGAGAGAGAGAGACAATCCCATCCCATACAGGCTCTATGCATAGCATGAAGCCCGTCATTGGGGTTCAATCCTACGAGCCTGGGATCATGACCTGTGCCAAAATAGAGAGTCAGATGCTCACTCAACTGACTGAGCCACCCAGGTGCCCTTATATTTAGCATTTGTAAAGCCACATCTCGGGGGTTGTGCCCAGGTCTGGCCACTTCATGTTAAGGAGGCCAGGAATATAGGTACAGTTGAAATGACTGAAGCTGGGTATTGATTTTATTTTTGTTTTCTGGTTAATAGCAGACCTTTGAGGAACATGGGGCTTCTTCTAGCCAAAGGGCTGGCCTTTGGAGGAAGGATTTGATTTACTCATAGTAACTCCTAAGGAAAGAATTGAAAACAGTGGCCTACTATTACAAGGGGGCTGATTTCTGTTCAATAAATGAAAGAATTTCTAACCATTAACACAGCTTTCCTCCAGATTATTTCCCCATAGAGTACTCTTCCCCTGGATATTATTAGCATGCACCAAGGGGTAAATTTAGGAATGTCTGCGTTAGACAAAATAAACAGGTTTCTTCCTGGCTGGACTCCTCAAATGCTTTAATGTATTAGTATTAATATGCTCAAAATTTCTCCAAGAAGAATATTTCCCAAACTTCATTGACCACAGAATCAAACTCAGTCTTATTTATTCATTCAGTTTTCATGACTCATCTGTTACTATCTCCCAAAGAAAGTACTCTGTGAAACGCGTTTGGGAATGCTGGACTAAAGCTATCAACAAGGAAATTGGTCGCTTAATGAAGAAAGTTAGCGGCCTGTCAGCATTCAAGCAGATATCCTTCAAATTCTAGGAAAACGGTTGGAGAGGAAAATACCCCACGGAGACACATTTGGGAATAGACCACTCTAGAGCGTATGGTTCTATGATGTCACTGCCAGCCTTAATGACATTTGTCCCATAAATGTTTTCAAAGGTGGCTGAGTTAATTTTGCAACCTCGATAGATCCCTATGACAATATAAAGGTCGTCACATGAGGCTACTCAACTGGTGATACCTCCTGAGATTTTTGTGAGTCTAGCAAGAGCACGCCGTTGGCAAATTCAGGTTTGTGAAATTTTGCAAGGCTGTTGCTGCCCCCACAAAATGCCTTACTTGTAGAACATTCTAGCCGTCTTGTCCTGGCATCTCAAGTTGATCTCTGAAAGCTTTTTTTTCTGCTCTTTGTTGCAGAGTAGCTTTTGTCTAAGTTGTATCCACAACTTCCCCTAAAAATGATTCCGCTCCTCACGCTTTCATACCATTATAAATCTTTTTAGAAAGAGCGGGATATACATTTTAAATAATTTAGCTTAAGAAGAGTGTGTCTGTCATGTTAAAAAAAACATTTTTTAAAAAAAACATCGAAAAGGGCGCCTGGGTGGCTCAGTCGGTTAAGTGTCCAATTTCAGTTCAGGTCATGATCTCGCGGTCCGTGGGTTCGAGCCCCGCGTCGGGCTCTGTGCTGACAGCTCGAGCCTGGATCCTGCTTCAGATTCTGTCTCTCCCTCTCTCTGTCCCTCCCCAACTCATACTCTGTGTCTCTCTCTGTCTCTCAAAAGTGAAAAAATGTTAAAAAAAAAAAAAATTAAAAGAAGTATGTGTCTGTCTTAAGCATAATGCATGAGCAGAAGCATATGACCAGTTAAAAAAAGGTGGGCCTGGTGCAAAATCTAACATCCCTGGGTTGAACAAACAAGACCCCAACCCTTTTCCTTTTGAGTAAACGACAGGGCTTTAGTTACACAATGTGAGGTTCTAGGGACTTCCGTAAACATCCCAAGCAGCCAAAGCCTATCGTCTGTCCAGCCGGTCAACATTCGGGGCAGCAAGGGGTGACTGCCTTGGGTTTCCCTGTCTGAGGATGTGCTGTATACACAGCCTAGCCTCACATGTGCTGCATACACAGGCCGTTATATACACAGCCCTAGTCTCAGCCCCCACCTCTGGACAAGAGACAATGGTGGCTCTTGTATATTTCTCTGAGTCCTGCGCACCCCCGGCTGCTAAGGAAGGGAGGGAGAACAATTTCTTACCACAGCCCCTGAGGCCTCCTGCGATCCGGCCCCCATCCAACCCTGTGACCTCATCTCCCAATACTCTCCCTTTTTTCCCTTCCAGCACCTGCCTTCTTGCTGCCTTCTACCTCACCAGGCTCACTCCTGCTTCTGGGCCTTTGCATGTGCCCCTTCCCTCCAGCTGGAATTCTCTTCTCCCAGCCTGTTGCTTATTTCACTCTCTCACTTTTTTTTAGTCTCTGTTTAAAGGTCACTTCCTCAGAGAAGTCTTCCCAGATTACCCCGAAAAGGCAGCGACTGTTTTACTAGGAATCCTTCACTCGAGATCCCCTTACCCTGCTTGATGTTACAGTAGCATTTGCCACTGTTTAACACTTTATTCATTGATTTCTTGCCTTTGTTTACTTCAGACAGGTCTAAAGCCTAGGTCTGCGAGGGGGATAATGTGCCTAGAGAATGGACCCTGAGGAAGTGGACTTCGATCCACTCACCCTGCAGCAAGCTCTCTGAAATGGCCCGTCACCTGGTTCTGGTTGACAGACAGGCATCAGTGACAGCCTCTAGCACAGCTGAGTGGGTCCCGGAAGACATAAAACCCTCATCAGAGTGGCAAAAAGACCATCTCTTAGCACTTCCGGTCTAAACAGTTCATGTGGTCATCAGCTGCTGGGGCTCCTCCCAGGGCCCAAAGCCCAGGAATACGGCCCTGTGGCTTGAACCCCCAGCTCTGCAGAGCTGTCTGCGTGGGTGAGTTGCATCCCTCACATGAAGGAGAGCCCCCGGATTTTGGCATCTTTCCATCAATCCTTTCACTGTCTCATTTGGACAAGTGAACAGAACTCAGTGCGAAAACAGTGTACATAAAAGGCGCTCAATAAAAGCTTTTTCATGGCTAAAAAGAGCAGTGGGAGATCCTTTAAGAGTGAGAGGAGAGAAAATTGTAAGATCAACAGGGAGGACTAGAGGTCAGCCTTTTTTTTTTTTTTAATTTTTTTTAATGTTTATTTATTTTTGAAGGAGAGAGAGACAGAGTGTGAGTGGGGGAGGGGCAGAGAGAGAGGGAGACACAGAAGCCGAAACAGGCTCCAGGCTCTGAGCTGTCAGCACAGAGCCCGACGCGGGGCTCGAACCCACGAACTGCGAGATCATGACCTGAGCCGAAGTCAGACGCTCAACCGACGGAGCCACCCAGGCGCCCCTAGAGGTCGGCCTTTTTGTTCAGAGGGGAGCAACCCCAGAGGTGCCCCTAACTTTGTGACAATGGTCTTTGACGCTGACCAGCAGCCTCCTACCTGGACGTGCTGCGCAGCCTTGATGGGCCAACGGCCCAATTACAGTATTGCCTCGGTGGTTCAGCTGGGATTCATCCCTGGTAATAAAATCCTCTGAAATTTACAAGATGATGAGAAGACACACCCTTGTTGTTCAGGAAGATGTTAAAC